TTGTAAAGTTGTATTCGGAAAGAATAAACCAGTTTTATTAAGTAAGGACTTGTGTCGCTAAAGTTTCGTCGGAACGAAGTTACGGAAAATCAATTAACAAACGGAGACGTAACAATAAGTTATACTCTTTGGATCAGTTTATTGTTCCAGTAGTTTGAGTTTAATTAGAGACAAGACAAACATAAGTTATACTCTTAGGATCAGTTTATTGTTTTTATATTGTTTTGTTCATGGCATACTTCGTGGTAGTTTTTACAAAACTGAAATTTTTACCATACATACACAAAAATTTACAATATGCTAGATTCAGTTAAACCTGTTTTACATTTCTAACAGGATGATTGGCTTATGGAATGAATTCTCATCATCAGTAGTGAAGGCCAACATTAAACTTAAGTTTAAGAGGGAAATTAAGAGTTTCTTGAAATATAAATGGTTGGCTTCCACTTACTTTTCTGCACAAGGACAGCCTTGAAAGACCAAATGGTCCTTGTCTGTATGTTATGACTGAACTGATCAACTCTAGAACACACTGAATGTTTAAAACAGTAAGCCCACCAAGTGACATTATAACACTGTTGCTGAGGATTAATTTTATGGATGTTTTTAAATTTAAAAAAAAAAAAATTTTATTAAAAGTCATGGAAAATTTCTGTTGATAATTATAAGTAGAACATCCAAGATAAACTCAACAGATCACGTGCCTGTCATTCAACAAAACTTGTGGCTTTTAATTACAGGAATAATTTTAAATATCTTCTTTGTCAAACAGCAGTATTTTTAAATAGTTTTGGTAATATCAGTTGCTTATTAATATACATAGCAAGTTTCTTACTCTTAACATTCTAAAAATAGAGAATTTACTTATTTACAAATACAACATAATCTGTAATAGTAGTGTTGCGTATCTGCTTGTTTGTTATTTTCCAGTAGAAATTCTTTTCGAGAAACTTCAGCGATACAAGTCCTTTCTTGATTAAAACTAGTTTATTCTTCCTTGATACAAACTTTGTAATACACTGAATTTCCACAGTCAATACGTTCCTCGTCGCTTTAAACTTAACGACTTTTATAAACACACGCTATAATCACAGCAATTCACAAGCTCGATAACTTTGCTCCATGCAATTGCAAAACACAGAAACAGAATCTACTTACCGTGATTCGATTATCTATCTTTATCCAGCTGGCTTTCTTTGCTATGCTTATATACTAAAAAAGGGGGCATCTAGATCACACTCATGATCATTAGAGAAACTTCAGTGCGCATGCTCCCAGCGTCGCGTGACTTCCGCTGTCGTAACAGTATTAATTATTGAAGAATATAATATCTTTGTGGTAAAAATAACTAATGTAAGGAAAAATATATATATTCAGAGTTTATTGATGCTTGTAATTTTGTACTTGATGATATCACAGAAGTGTTCAATCATACCATTGATTTCCTAAGGTGGTCAGTGCCGACATTCAGTTCTGATTTTATAGTTGTTGTTTTGTTCCCACAGATAAATAGGGATGAAGAATACATCATGGTGAATAATCTTTATGATGTGGAAACTAAGACACAGCTTCAACTTCTAACACCTTTAGCTATCAAGTTGATACAAGGTCCAGTTTTACTGGCTTATCCATTCCATTATCTGACTGTAAGTAATGGAAATATTTTATGTTTTAAGCTGAATGAACTATTCTGATAACTTAGTAGCAACATTTTTCAGGTTTGATGTTTAATTACTCTAGAAATTTAAAGTGAGTAGTAATAAAGTGGTCTGTATGAAATAAAATGGTCATAAAAGGTATATTGTGTTGTAATTTATAATGTATATCTATTAAACAACACAGGTTAATATAAACTAAAGTTAAATTAATGTATAGTCTTTTATGATCTTGTCAGTAAAACTAATACCTAAGAAACATAAAGCAATTAAACATTGATACATTAGATAAATACTACAGAAAAGAAGAATAAGATGTTATTTATAATAGCAAGTAAATACACAATATTATGTATAGTAATATAGAGTAAAATACAGTTTACATCCACTATTGTTTATATGGAAACAGGTTTGGACACTTTCACATGTTCAACTTTTCTTTGTGAGAGAAACACAGTTTATTTTATAACGGTCGTTACAAGTCCCTTGAGGACGTCAGTATGGGGTTCAGTTTATAGTGACCTTCTGAGATGTTGAAGTTTGGCCATTTTTGAACTAACAAACTTTCTACAGTTTTCATTTGACATAATTTCTAGTTTTATGTATCATTTTGGCTGATTTCCAGTTAATTATATGATCAAGATTTTTCATGTGAAAAAAGTAGCATTATTGGTTTGACCATTTTTAACATCCTTTTTATGTTCTGCGAATATTGTATCCAACTTTCTACTCGTTTCACTCACATAAACTTGGTCACAAGACTGACAGGGGACAATATAGACACCTTGTTGGACTGAAGAGGACACATGAAAGTGTTGAAACTTGTTTCCATATAAACTTCTTGTTTCGACAATAGTGGATGTAAACTTTTTTTATTTATTCTTCAGCTAAAATCGCTTCGTAACAAATATTTTAACACATAACAGTGAATTATAATAATAACAGGAAGTTGAAATTTATTCAGAAAAAAAACAGAAAACAAAATCTTGAGTATGATAGACAAAAAACAAATGCTATTTTTACATGTCTGATTTGAAATCCTTAACAGACTAATTAAGAGGAATGTTATTGATTGTTTTTGCTTCGGTGTTTACTGTGGTAGTATAGATTTACAAATATGTAATATTCTAATAACTTGTTAACCTTTCTTATAGTTGAAAACAATCATAATAATGTATATTAATAAATTAATGTTACAGTAAGTAGAGAGGTCTGTTTGCAGTTCAATATTTATTCGTCAGTAAATCTTAAAGGAGCTGGCAGTGCTGATGAGGTTAGGTCAGTCTCTATTGGTTTATCATGTGGGGAGGAGTGTTGGTATTTTTGAAGTTACTTCAATCTTCATTGGTTATTATGGGGGAGGAGTATTGGTATTTTTGAAGTTACTTCAATCTTCATTGGTTATTATGGGGGAGGAGTATCGGTATTTTTGAAGTTTGTTTGTTTGTT